TTATTTAAAAACAGTGCCACTTTAACAGAACTTTGAATAAATTCAATAAAAAAAAAAAATCACATGCAGATCCGGGGACATTAGAAAAGAGGAGACAAATGTAGGGCCCCGGAATTGTTCTATGTCCTTTTCATGGGTACACTAAGGATACAAGTTGATATAATCTGACCCTATGTTTTTACGGTAATACATTGTATAAGCATGTTGTAAGAACTATGTGTCTAGATGGGGTGTCTTGCTGCCCGATCCAGATTATGGCATTTTAGTGATGTGGTACTTCAGCATAAACTGAATTTCTATTGTTGTATATATGGTAGTATACATTAATTGTAACCGAGTGTTTCAAGATATACTAATATGCTTTTCGAAACATCTGTACATGTAGGACGCCTGACTAGACCCGTTATCGGACTTGCGTATGTCACGTTCACATGGTCATGCATGTACCTATTTGAAAACCTTCTGTTTGATCTGTTGAAACTTTCGTACATATATTGATGTGTTACTATGACTGTTATACGTACACATATATACAACAGGTACACGACTGAAAACTGAGGGAATTCCTAGGTAGGTCGCTAGTGTGTGGAAACGAAATTCAGGTATCTTGTGACGTATACCCTTCGCGAAGGGTTTTGAACACGTTTAACTTTGTTTTCAGGTTTATAACTTTGTTTTCAGGTTTATAGATTATTCTCGATGACAGGCCAATTTTAAAAGTCGTTCAATGCGATGCCCAAAGTTGTACGATTGTGTTACGATAGACCTAAGAATTTTGTGCGAGATTTGGTCATCTGGGTCACCCAGAATCGTGGAAACTTCCAAAGATATTCTTCAATTGTTCTACGTTAAACCAACGTCAGTCGTACGTTGATAACAAGGTATTGCAAAACCACCTGTATTTTATGTTCTGTAACCTCTGTCGTTTATATAATTGTCAGGTCGGTTTCCAATTATCTTAATTCGTTCACCCCTGAAATGTCATAATGAATTATTCCAACCGTTGATGCGGAAGAGTTGAAATGTTTCTTCAGGGGTGAATGAGTTAGGACGTAGGCCACGTTTTGTTAGTATGACAGTTGATTGGGTATTTAATTCTAGCAATAGCTAAGGTGATATGAAGACGGATGCCTAGGGTGACATCGTGAAAAAGTAGGTAAGATAAGAAAAGATATAGAACCCGGGGTATCAAAATGTTGGCAACAGATCAGGGCTGGTTTCTTCGTTGTCTTCTGAGCAGAGGCCACGGGACAAAAATATCCTCTATAGGACCCGCACATTAGTCAGCTCGTGTGACATACACTGGGATACAGCTGGTCTTATCGTTCACTGAAGTGACATCCAACTGTAAATGCAAGAAACAGCATATCAGAAATTATAATAGTGTTTTAGCTCAACCCACAATGACCAGTTTCGTAAATATGTTACATTAAAATGATGTAATAGATAATACATGTACATGTACATCAAAATGCAGTTTTCAGTGTTGTTCACAAATATTATATCAGCACTAAAACGATAAAACACATCATCGCTCGGGCAAAGTGCATGTGACCTAGTGTGTCTGCTTGTGTTAGTGTCGTCTTCATAAGGATAAACATATACACATGTAAATGTATACGTAAAAACATATTCAGTGTATAAGTATATACACCAGTGAATGTATATCAGTGTAAAAATATACACGTGTATCAGTATAAACATATTCACGAGCATCAGTGTAATATACACACGTGTATCAGCGTAAACACACACGTGCATTAGTGTAATATACACACATGCGTCAGTGTAAACATATTCACGTGTATCAGTGTAAACATGAGCATGTTGGTAGTTAAACCAAAATTACCTGTCGCATGGACCTTTACGCGGAATATGGATAGCAGGCGACAGCAATGACTCGCCTGCTTGTCATTTGGTAACCGTGTGTTCAACAAGATAGGTCATTATGGCATGGCCTTTTTTTAGTTTAATCATCCACACGTGTTTAGTGTAATAAAATCACTCAATAAACATGTGTATACACATCTCATAGAACATCTGTATAACACCCAATAAAATGTTAAGAAAATGAAGGTGCATATTTTTCAAGTCGTGACAGACTGATATTTAACACAATCAGAAAAGTGTGGGAGCAGATTCATTCACGCGCATCTTACCACGTAGTTCCCTTTTAAACCTTCATATATGTTAGAGTACACGTGTGCTGCAAGTTGTATATGTGTTATTCTTGTTTTGAGTCTGTATTTCCATTGGCTGGTTATAACGCCATACCACTAGACTACTACAACACAAAAACTGTTGAGTTAGACAACAAGGGTATCGTGTCTTACCCTACGACGTACATGCATCTAAAACATAAAGGCAGATTATTTTTGTCATATACAATTCCTTGTCAGTCTCTGACAAGTCGTACACCTATATCAATTGACGTATAATGCGCACTGTTTTCCATGACGCCAGTTTTACAATATTATGTTTTTCCTATTTTTATTTGCTTACGTAGCAATATTGAACATTCAGGAATCATTTAGTGCTATTTCCAACCTCAACAAAAGAAAAGTATCAAACTGAAAGAGAAAGTTGTCGTATTTCAACGTCGTTTTGCGAAGGTACTAATGGTGTCGTGCATTTGACAAAACACCTTTGTCACTATAAGAAATAGTTTCACCCGCAGTTATAGTTAATTTTGCAGATACAAAGAATCATTGTGTAATTTAAGCAGCAATATCAAAACGAATGCGCTGCTTTCTAGCTTATTTGGAACATGTTTTATTTTTTTATTTTCTATTTTTTTATAACACATGTACAAGTTATAACTACAGGTATTATTGTTGACGGAATTAATACAATTTACATATACACATAGTTGATAGAATTAATAAAATGTCTCTATATGCATTAAATTGTTGACGTATATAAAAAAATATATTTGAAATTGACGTTGTTTTCAGTAACTTTTACGCTGTGTGTTTAGGTAGGTGATGCATACTGCACTTACTAGTTAGTGACATTATGTTGCATTCAAAATGTTTAAGCGCCACTCAAACTTCAGAATTTACATAGCTTTAACAATATAGGAAAATATAAACTTTATTTATTTTACAACAATTATGAATCAAGTTATTTCATCTTATATTAATCACTCATGTTGGCCCGGATATTAGCGCGTGGGGGGTTTTAGTGTGGGAGGAAACCGGAGTACTCGGAGAAAACCACGTGATCGGGCAGGTGACCCCAACCTTTTCATGTCCGTCGGGGGAATCGAACCCCGGCCGCCTTGGTGAAAGGCAAGGGAGTTATCTACTGCACCACCCGACCATCCCTTTAGCTTTAGAACCCACGAAGTCCGATTTCGTATACAAAACAAATATAGTACATAGTATATTGAAACTGCATTGACGAACAAAGGACGGACGTTCATTCAATAGACGTACATATGTACACAGTCCGTCCGTTGTCTGTTCAATAATACAACTTCTGCCGACGATACCAGATGATGGACGGCGATGCGATTTGATATGGTATCAACTTATCGGGTGATAAATAAACTCAACCTTGATAACAAATCACATTTCCTAACCGAAATGATAACATAGTAATTCAGAAAATGTGTTTTAAAGATAGTGTATTGTTTCCTGGAGCAAAACCATGTATTCTATTTATGTTCGAGTTTAAACTCATTTCTTTATGGGATAAAGTGTAGATATTGCTGATATGATTTTATTACTTTGTGGTAAAATTGTGTTGCAATTTAGAGCCGGTATTATTATTTTTTGCACCCCTAACGCCATACTAAAGTATTCGATGTTTCCCAAGTACATATGAAAATTAGCAGTGCCTCGTTCATGGAGGCCTGGTTTGTGAGTGGATGATATAAATTGTCTCATCTATTAGCACGTTTTAAGACAGAACTAGACGCTATATAACGGCAAATGACAATAACTGTCACCCGAACAACCCATTCTGTGCTCCTGGTAATGGCCTGTATACTTCGCTTCATTACAAATTCTTTTAACCTCTGACGTTTTCATTTTCATCTACACTTCGTTTTCGACTCTCGTGAGTTTGTCCGTTTCCCTTCCTACTTTGTCGTATAAGCATTAATTCAACCCGAGAAACTCGGCTAAATAATATAGGGAGGTACCGAGGGAGTCACAGCAAAATTAACCAATATTTGATTAAATCCTAGAGGTCGATAAAAATAATCGTTAATTCGCCTGAAAACATGATCTTATGGAAAATAATATTAATTCAATAAAACCTTAAGGAAATCTTATTATTTCATAGATTACCCTTTAGTCCAAACGAAAACTGTAATCAAAAGTAAGGAAACACCTTTTAAGAAGAGTTCACCCAATTGGAGACTCTAGGTAATGGCGGGGGATCTAGGGACATCCGATGGATCCGTTAATGCCTGTAGCCATTACATCGCCACTCAGTGGCAGCCATTTTATGTTAGCACCGTTATGTGACAAGGGTGCTAGAAGTGTTGTGTAGAGGTATATGAAACTAGTTAAGTCATAAAACAAAGGGAAACCTACCCTTACCGAGTTGACAGATGTTTGCAGCATGATGGAACAGCCCTGTTACGTGGTGCTAGCTGTCTGAACATCCTATTTCTTTAAGTGTAATAGAAAGTTTCGATACAGAGATACATTGTTCCCAGAATTCCCCAACGCTGTACCGTTGTTACGGAACTTGTCACTGATGGGGTGTAGAAGGCTTTAGCGACTGTTTTCATACTAGCATTGTGCAATAAAGTCTGTATCGATGCCAGCAAGACAGCATATCTCTAACAGACTCCATCAGCACGAAACACCTAATTTCAAAGATTGAATCTGCCAATACCAGTTAGTGGGTTTGGTGAGAGGCAGTGAAGGGTTATTTGCGTTGTACCAGTGACTGTGTTGGAGGGTTATACTTACAATTACATTTCGCCTGTTTGGCCGGAGTAAAGCCACGAATTGTAACCATGTTCGAATCCTTCATTTCAGTAGTGTTGGCGGTTTTGGAAAATACAAGCAGCGATATAGTGGAAACACCTATCTTTGACACTCGCGCTGAGAACGTGACAGTGTTGGCTGGGGAGACGGCGACCTTACCTTGTCAGGTGGAAAGTCTTGGGAAGAAGTATATGGTAAGTATTACCTATTTTTTAGTGTTATTATTTCTTAATCAACTTCGTTTTTTCTGTGTTTTTACTTTTCTTCATATTATAGAACTATAAAGTGCATGTATTTCATTTAATCTATTTCAAGGTATCACATCATAACTGTGATAGGAAAACTGCTGACATTTTTTTATAACTTAAATATCTTTTTAAAACATGTTTTTTCTCAGTAAGATGATACTATTTGAAATTTCACTTAAATGTATCCTGATGGATGAAAGACAAATCTTACAAAATGACATGTCATGCTTTTACATTTCATTGTTTAAATATTATTGCAAATAACATACATATTAAACTGATCCGAACCAAAGTTTTAAAACATCTTAGCCCTAAATGGTGTTAAAGTTAATATCTGATTAAAGAAAATAAAACATTATATAATATACTTTTCGTGATTATTTAAGTCTTATTCTGTGAAAAAGATAAACGATTTATATTTAATAATGGTTATACTGTTCGGCTGTATAATATGTAGATAACACGTTCTTTTTTTATAAATTTCGTGGATGGTAAATAAATAAATAATGTATATATCGTCGGTGTTACTGTATTTCAATATCGTCGATACTACATAAATATCGTCGGCGTTATACAAATATCATCGTTGAAACATGGCATGTAAGTATCGTATCGTTGGTATACAAAATGTTGTTTTTGGTGAAAAAGAACATTTTTACATGTATGAAGTTTATATCACACCATACAATAGTGAATAAATGATTGTGACTGTATTCAGTGGATTATGTTCTAAGAAATCAAATATTTAATGTATTTATAGTGATCAGAGATCATTTTTGCTTTTGTTTATATTGTTCAATGTTCACCGTTCGTATTTGTGTAAATTGGTTTATAGTGATCAGTGTTCAGCGTTTGTAATGGTTTAAAGTGATCAGTGATCAGCGTTTGTAATGGTTCACAGTAATCAGTGTACAGCCTTTGTAATGGTTTACAGTGATCAGTGTTCAGCGTTTGTAATGGTTTATAGTGATCAGTGTTCAGCGTTTGTAAAGGTTTATAGTGATCAGTGTACAACGTTTGTAATGGTGTATAGTGATCAGTGTTCAGCGTTTGTAATGGTTTACAGTGATCAGTGTTCAGCGTTTGTAATGGTTTACAGTGATCAGTGTTCAGCGTTTGTAATGGTTTATAGTGATAAGTGTTCAGCGTTTGTAATGGTTTATAGTGATAAATGTTCATTGTTTGTAATGTTGTATAGTGATCAGTGTTCAGCGTTTGTAATGGTTTATAGTGATCAGTGTTCAGCGTTTGTAATGGTGTACAGTGATAAATGTTCAGCGTTTGTAATGTTGTATAGTGATCAGTGTTCGGCGTTTGTAATGGTTTATAGTGATCAGTGTTCAGCATTTGTAATGGTTTATAGTGACCAGTGTTCAGCATTTGTAAAAGTTTATAGTGATAAGTGTTCAGCGTTTGTAATTGTTATAGAGTGATAAATGTTCAGCGTTTGTAATGGTTTATAGTGAGCAGTGTTCAGCGTTTGTAATGGTTTATAGTGTTCAGTGTTCACCGTTTGTAATGGTTCATAGTGATCAGTGTTCGGCGTTTGTAATGGCTTATAGCGATCAGTGTTCAGAGTTTGTAATGGTCTATAGTGATCAGTGTTCAGAGTTTGTAATGGTTTATAGTGATCAGTGTTCAGCGTTTGTAAAGGTTTATAGTGATCAGTGTTCAGCGTTTGTAAAGATTTATAGTGATCAGTGTTCAGCGTTTGTAAAGGTTTATAGTGATCAGTGTTCAGCGTTTGTATTGGTTCATAGTATTCAGTGTTCACCGTTTGTACTTTGTATAAAGATTATATTTCACCTTGTATTTGTCAGTGTTGACACTGTTATTTGTATAAAGTAATTATTGTTGGTCATTAAAACCTCGTTAATCTGGCACTTGATGCTCCTTTAAGCGTAGCAATTTTGTTTACTTTTGTTTGCATTGTTCTTCCTTTCTATTCTTTTCGTAGATTTTAAACAACACATTTCTGTGTTTGGACTTTTACATGCATATCATGCCTTATTTTTCCGAACTAACAGTATGAACTCAAACTAGAATTTTCTGGAAAACCAAGGTTTGCTTTTACCTGTCCAGACTAGTACGTTGTTAGCATGTTACCTCACACTAGCTTTGTTAAGACTTACACAGTACAAAGTCACCTCACACAGGCACGGTTCTCTGATTCACTAGGTTAACACACACAGGAATCGTCCGGATTAACAAGATTAGCACCCACTAGAATTATCCGGACAAACAAGGTTAGCTAACACTAACAAAGCTGTGTCACACTAGCTTCGCCTGAAATGATCAGGTTAGATTTCACTTCACATGATATATATCCAAAAGTATGATTATTACACAATACACTGACCCGATTGCCAACTAAGATATTTGAGTGATCGCCAGGACTATACTGACATACATGCTTTCCTGGGTTTGACAGAAGATATCATGGAGGGTGCCAATATTGGCTCAGGAAACACGTACGGAGCGTCTCTTTTGAGCTCTGTTGTTATTTTGATTGTGCTACAGACGGTAATGATGCCTTTCTTTTGTTTTAGTGTCTTATTATTTACTGTTGCTAGCTTTCGTATCATTATATATCTTGTGTTCCTGGGACAGCGTGTACGTTCTGTGATGTAAATGTTCCTTGTCATTAATGTGTGGTTTCCAGTCTGTTTCATTTCTTCGTGTTTCCTAAAATTTAATAACTAGAGGTTAGTCATGATAAAAAGTCAATAAATTACCTTAAATTAAGTATGGGCATTCTGTGCACTAGCTAAATGTAATATATTGATTCCAAAAAATATTCTCATGTTATGATAAGACATTTCTACTAAGCTGGTACGCTCGAACAGTATTAGGTGAATACAAATATACCTGCAGTTATCGTATTATTTCAAGAGATCAGATAAAATGTTGCATAGACAGGCATTGACATGTAGAAATATAAGCAAATACTGATTTTGATTGGAAAACATTGTTTTCGGTAAAAGCTGGAAAAACCTTAGTACATGTATTATTGATCACTGTTTTAAACATACGGGAAGTCTTTCCATACGAACGTCACACATTGTGTGATTATTTCATGCCAGGAAGAACAAATGTTGATTATACTTCTCATCTATTGTATGTCCGTAGTTAACACGTTTTGAGGGTGTAAATTGATTTTATTGACAATAATTTGATGTAAAACATGAATCGCTAATTTTATCTGCAGATTTTATGATAATCCTTACAGTTTGGCTACTAATATGAAAATGACATTTGAAGAAAACCCCTCCTCCAAACCCGTGTTACTCATAAGACGGTAGAAATATTAAACTCTAGCTATCAAATCATGTTTAAACTTGAATCAGTCGAATTTTTACCCTGTAATACCAAAGAGGTTATTTTCAACTTTCAAATCTGCCAAAGATTGTTCTTGCATAACTTAAGATTTTGTTTTGTTTTGGACAATGCAGATCATTTCATTTATTGTAATTTCCAGTTTATTGAATGATAAATGGAACAGAGAATGTGTATACAAAACCTTAACTTGAAAGGATGGGTATGAGCGACAGAAAGATTTAGATAGATACAATCAAGACCAGGTGTTCCGGGAGAATAAGAAATTTGTGTTCATCGACTGCATAAAACATTTAAATAAACGTCAAATCAAATGCCGATATATAATCATCTGAATATTTGTTTTCATATTCTTATCCGTGTCGTCCATGTGTAGCGTTATGACATGACACACACTGTTACTGGTGTCCATACATTTATTTATTTATTTATTCAATATGTTCACGTTCATTTGTTTAATAGGATAAACTTTCTTAAATGTAGTTTAATAACGGCATCACAGAAATCTTCAAAAGCCATTTTGTTAAAAAAACAAACCTTTCTGGAGTCATCAATAACACATCTTCGACATCCACTAGTTCTCTGGACCCTTAAAATTAAATTTCATGACAAAGTCAAAGGATTTAAGTGCCATAATGAAGATGTTATGAGTTTGCTAGCATGGAAACCGTTACGTATTCCTGTAAACTTCATGATATTCTTGATACCAAAAAGTAATCACGCGGCAGTGTAGCGGTAAAAAGATTAATTTTGTTGTTTGTCCTCTGTTATCTTCTAAAAACGGTAGGTACATGTATCAGTATAGCGAGTGGTCTGTTATCTATGTGTGAATCCAATCGAAAGATTATTTATTATACATCAATTTTTATGACATATTACAAGTGTACACTACATTTCCAGCTTACACGTAGGCATAAACACATAGGTAGGTATTAGCAAGGTGGCATAAGACCAGTAAATGTAGTTAGCGCCTGAAAAGGCAGCTCCTGATCAATCCCTAAAAAATTGTATTGAATAATGCATATGCTTACTGTATTAATTTTATATCTATGTACTGTAAAGCGCTTTAGAGTGGCTTATGCTATCTAGATAGTGTGTTAGCTAATTACTTTCCCTATACAGTTTTGTAACATTATCATTTAAAATAGGTAAACTAAAAAAATGTAAAATCGTTCACAATGCTTCAGAAGCTCGTTTCATAAAAAAGGCGTTTGAAATCCGCTGCATGTTGATAACATTTCGTTAATGCCAACAGCTATTGCACAGTAACTGATGAACTGAAGTATAAATGTACGGTACAAATACCTAGACAATATAGGCTTGGTTTGATGTCACAGAGGGACCAATTATCAGGGACAAGGAAATCCTGCACAATTTTATTTTTGGATTATAAAACGAAAACCGTCCCTGTAAATATTTAACAAATACACATACTGCACTTGAAATATTGCAGCTATCTTAGTTTGTCGGCGTTAAACGCCGGCTTCTGCCCACGTACGTTTTGTACAAATTGACTCTATTATTTGTTCATTGAACATTGTATAGCTTTTGGACTCTTTCTGAATGTTCTTGAATATCATTTTTGCGTCTTTGAACACCTCATGTTCCAG